GACTATTGAATTGGAAAACGCAGGTCTAGTCCCTGCCTTAGTAAAATGACTAGAACGGACAGATGAAAACTCACCGTGGAAGAGTCAGTGGTTCACCAGTCCGCGTGGCCCAGTGACCCCTTCAGGGATGCCTACCCAACCTAACAGCTAACCATGTCAGTTTGGGATACCCTAGTACTTCTTTCTCTGGGGGACACCATCACGTGAGCCACCACCGTCACAAAAATACACTTGTGATCGAGCAATTTCCTGAGGACTACTGGGAGCCATTTTATATTGTGAGTTAGGACTATCAGTGAATTCTCTGAGACTGCCATCTTTTTCTACTTTTTGGAGTCAGTACTTCTTTGGTTTGTGTGGTGGTGGAATCCTTTTCTTCTAATAGAATTTTAAATAGAATCCAAGAGAGGAGAAAGATAAAAAGGATTCACCTAACTTTTAGGAAACACTTATTTGATAGAACAACGAAGCAGTTTAAAGATGGTGAACATCTAACCCTGGATTACTAATTACAGATGTCTTATATTACCTTCACCATCCATTATATGACCTTCCAATGTTTACAGACACCTTGGAGCTCACGACAGACTGAAATCTACCTTCCTGGTTGGCTTTAGCCTCAAAGGAATCCTAAGAGACCAGGAAGATTCACAGGACTGGGGAGGCCCCTACTGCCACTTCGGTTGGTATGTTCCATCTTCCCCTTTGCTCCTGTGACCCAAGACACCACTCTGCTTTTACCAAGAAATGGCCCTTCCTAATTGGCCTGTGTAGTCTGCTCCCAAGCTCCTGACTATAATGTGGGGTAGCACCTCACATTATAAGTAGGGGGATACATATCTCCTCTCTTCCCAGCTGTGTAGACACACATTCTGGTACAAAGGGAGGAACACTTCCAATTCATTTCATTAGGACAGAGGGCAGTGAGGCTCAAAGGGTCTAAGGCAATGCAATTCATAGTTTTTCAAAATCTAAGGATTTTTTGGTTGGTTTCTCTTTCACACATTAAAGATATTCTGTTCATGGAAAACAGGTAAGTGCCTTTAAAGTTAATATTTACAAGTTGAAACTGAATTTTTTTTTTTGAATGCTTCTTTTACAAAATTAAGTAAAATATATTTTGGTTTCTGAAAAAGGGTCTTTTTCCTCCCTGCACTTAAAATGAACAGATTCTATGATTATTTCCCACTGGGCTAAAAAATTTCTGCACTTTTGGATTCACAACTACTAGGTGGTCGAGGGAGCCTGACAATCTGATAAAAGGACAACGGGGACATTACTCAGTTGGAGCCTATGTCAAAGTAAACGCCTGCCAGGACATGTTATTTAAAACAGGAATGGTATAAAAACAACAATTTAGCAAAGGGCACAGGAATCCTCTTGATGTTTACTGCCAACATATCTTAGTTCAGAGTATTGATATCTAAATATTCACTGACTATTTTCTGTTCTAGAAAGGACATCTCTTAAAAGAAACACACAAAGCCGATACCTTTTAACGATAAAAGCAAACCTTTCTCTCATCTCTTCTTCTCAGAGAGAATTAAATTTTACTTCTCTGTGGCTCTCACCAGTTTGGTATGTGCTGAACAGAGGAAGGGAAAAGGGCTAAATAAAATAGTCACATCAAACCAAAAGGCAGCAGAGCGGCATAATAAGTGGGATAAAATCAATGACAGGAAAATGGAAGCACAGCTGACATTTAGATTCATCAATGATGACTTTTCTGATTCTCATTTAGGAATGTGAAACAGGAATTTTGTGCAAGAAGCTACTTTGACATTGACGTCTTATAGGTCACCCAGTAGATGAACAGATTCTAAATTTCTGTGCAATCTGTTTACCCCTGAAACCATTTAGCCTGATGCAAATAATGTAAACTCTCTGTGAGGACAAAGGGTCCTTGTCTCTCACACCTTAGATTTAGCGGGAATACCCACAGCATGCAATATTGTCTGAGAAGTCAATTTTATGACAAGGCAGACATTTTCAGATGCATCTTGACTTTCACATCGGGTACAGTTTCTTCCTGAGGCACATCTGCTTTCCCCCCCGAGGAATGACCTCTATAAAACTTATTACCTGACATTCCATTTTCTGGGATGGATCTAAAGTTTGCTCTCTCGACTACACAATTCTTTCTTACTTATTGGTTGTTTAAAATATTTTGAAGAGCTTGTTGAAAGCTCAAGAATTGGAAAGCCAAGTAGAAAAACGTTCAAGTTGATCTGAGCCTTCGGTCGTTTGCCCCATGTCGCTACGCTCTCCGCTGCCTGATCTGGCCACTCGATGGAGTGAATCCCCAACCTCTATAACCTTCATTTAAGAACTGATGGCTTAAAAATTACAAAGTTACTGGCTCAGTCATTATTATAAAAATAGGTTTAAGTTCTACCAAATAATAAATATTCTTAACAGAAAAAAACCAGGAGAACTATTGAGTCACCGGTAATAAAACACATAAAGTATGTAAATAATTCTAATGGACTTCAGCAAACTCTCGCTTCTCCAGGGATGAGGTCACCAGAGTAGAGAGAATCATACATTTATGAAACGAAAATCACCACCCGTATGTGAACACACTGATGTCAAGCAAAGGCATCTGTTTTCTGGAGCCACACAGTCTTGCCAAGCCAGACAGGACTCAAGCAGTAGCAAAGCACCAGGAAAGAGCCGATGATCCCCGGATGAGAAAGTATGGCAGCAAATGAGGTAAGAAAGGAAACCGGAAGGAAAGAGGAAGAGGTGTGTGGGTGGGGCCCATTTCACGACTAAGGAACAGACAACTCTCGCAGAACCCTTCAGCGTGGGGCCACATTCATCAAATCGTTCAGAGACGTTTGATGGCCTGAAAAATGATGACTTACACGATGTTTGTACTGTGGGATGGAGGTCACAGAAGGGTAACTGTGTTCCCAAGTCATCACAAATACAAGTTTAAATCAAAATCCATTTTGTACCAAGTTTTGGCAGCAATTTGGGACGGTCTGTGCCTAGTGCCCTGCTTCCAGAACTACCCCCTAGGAACATACACTTCATAGTCTCTTAGGGAAGTTTCTAAGGCAACAACACTCAGTTTCAGGGAGAAAGGTGATGGACATTAGGCACTACAAAGAATCTAACAGAAATCTTTACTTTTTTTGGGGGCGCCTGGGTGGCTCAGTTGGTTAAGCGACTGCCTTTGGCTCCGATCATGATCCTGGAGTCCCGGGATCGAGTCCCGCCCGCATCGGGCTCTCTGCTCGGCAGGGAGTCTGCTTCTCCCTCTGACCCTCCTCCCTCTCATGCTCTCTGTCTCTCATTCTCTCTCTCAAATAAATAAATAAAATCTTTAAAAA